GTCACTTGGGACCCTGGGAATGGGTTTCCTGGTGGGAGTCTCTGCCTGGTTCTCAGCTGGGATGTCTGGCGAGTGCCAGGGCTGCAAGACATGTTGCTGGTGGCTGTGGTGGGTGTGGGTCTCTGCCACCTCACAGGGGGGTGACACCATTCCCCAAGGAGCCCTGTGTTGGTGTGTGTGCCCCAGGGGATATAAATACACCCAACACTTCACTGTCCTCTTGGTGCCTCACACAGAGGCACTGCTGGTGCTGGTGCCACCCACACTCAGCTGCCTGGGAACAGTGCAGCCTCCGGGTATTTCCACTCCTGCCCGCACCACGGCTCAGCTCAGCGGCTCCGAGCAGCTCTGGGGCTCTCCTGCCTCAGTCCCGGCCAGGTTCAGCCCTGTGGGAATGCCAGCATGGGCAGCAGGGCTGGGACCTCTCCAAGTCCAGTGGAGCTGGACACCAGCCGTCCCCATGGCTGCTGGTGATGGTTTGGGGTGAACCCCACAGAACGTGTCCCTTCTGCCAGTGCCCTCCAGGCACTGCCCTGGTCCCAGCCCAGCCTGAGCTCAGCCCCATCCGCACAGCAGCGTTCCTGGCATCTCCCTCCCACTCCCATCAGAGCCAGAGCCTGGTGCTGGCAGCAGAAACCTGAGCTGCACAGTCTGAACCCCCCCATTTATTTAATTATTTATCTGTTCTGCCCGTTTCCTCTCGCCACAGGCTGGTCTTTGTTTCTCTAATGCTGTAAAATAATGTTTAGAAACAAACCCCCCCTGGGTTGGTGCACTGCCTCACCCCTGCCAGGGTCACAGCACCCCGTGTGTGCCTGCTCCGGCCACGCTTAAATGAAGCCATCGTGGTGGTTGGCCAAAGGCTGGACTCGATGATCTTGGAGGTCTTTTCCGGCCTAAATGATCCTGTGACTCTGTGAAACCAGAGGGAAATGCACAGTCAGCACAGGTATTAAATCTGGTGTTCACACACTGCCTGTGTCTGCTCATGGCAAACACAACCAGCCAGAGCAGAGCCCTGCAAACCCTGGGACCTGCCTGACTGTGCATTTGAAGACTTCTGTGCTGAGGGGGGAAGAGGCTGCCGGGTCTCAGTGGGGAAAGGGAATTTTGGAAATGCTTGGAACAGCATGATTTGTTGAAAACGTAATTCATTTAATGGTAAGAAAATATCATTTCAGTGAAAGAGATATTACAGCAAAGGTGAAACACTTGCATGAAGGGCAAAGATAAACCAAGAGGAAAAAAAATAAAAAGGAAGTTAAATAAATCTTAAAATAAACCAGGTGAAATCAATTAAATACTGATAGGTTATATTCCCTGTGTCTGCTGTTGGCACTCCAGAATTGCTCTCAGACCCCACAGACCTCCTTCATCCTTTAAGATGAAGCATTGCTCATTTATTCACTTATTTTTATTCTCAGTTGATCCACCTGGTTCCTCTCAAGGTTTTAAATTTTATTTACACACATTCAGTTTCAGTATTTTGCAAACCATTTATGCTCTATTTCTAAGACATATCGCTGCCTGAAGCATCACCTGGAAATGTGAATTAAGCACAATAACACAAAAGGCAGAAGAAACGTTTCATAATGCCATCGGGGCGGCTCCAAACGAGTTGCTAGGTGAGGTGCTGTTGTGCCAGCAGCGCTGGGGCTGCAGTTCTGCTGCCACTAAAAATAGTTGCAACTTCAAAACCAGTGCATGTACATGCAACCAGCCTCGTGCTCTATTAAAATCTTTACAAAACCTTTTTGTTCACTAAAATCATAGACAAATAAGAGGATTAGCAGTTCTTTTGTCTCCTGGCACCCCGGGGTCAGTGTGTTTAAGTCCACAGCCCTGACTTTCCAGGTAGGACTCTCCTGGTGGCGGTGGGGAAGAACAGCCCCTCTCCATCACATCACAGGGCACCCTCCTGCCAGAAGCAGGATGAAAACAAAAAATCCACGGTGCTGTGCTATGAAAATGTACAAGCTGACAGCAGCTCACCTGTAGGTTTCATACTGATTTCATGCTGTGTTAAAGATATGTAAGAGTTACTGGGCACAAATGAAAAAAATCATTAACCCTCTGAGCTTCAGGAAGCAAATACAGCTCATGAATGAGCACTGGTGTCGGCATGGGGCCATGCTTTGGCTAAAGTTAAGCTCTAAATAACTATTATTTCAAACTTTGTGGTGTCTCCAGTGAATGATTGGTAGTTATTAGAAGATTCCCAAACATACCCAGGGGAAAAGTAGGTTACATGCATGACCACAAAATCAGAACACGTTTAATCTCATTTGCCAGTCGAAGGCTGTACGGTTTGAGGGAAGGTGGAACTTTTGGGTGGTCACAGTAGTGAGGTGATGAGCTGAGTCCTGTTCCTGGTAATCACAGCCCATGGTCATTACTGATTATTAATTACCAGCCCAAAGGCTGGAGTGGCAGTTGCATTCCCTTTGCACATTGGATGGATCAGAAACTCCAGCTGATCAGGGAAAGGTCTCTGACTACACCCATCTCCAAGGTTTACAGATAAACACAGGGATTCCCTTGGGCCCCTAAGGCTGGTGGACTGTCTTCCACAAATACATTTTAGAAAGGAACAGTCTAAAAACAGACTTGCCAAGTTCCCCAGGAGCTCATGGCTCTGCTTGGGTGCCCAATCCCCCCCAGCTGACCAGTATCCTCTAAGAGGGACACCCAACACACGTGGTTCTGTTGTTCCAGCAGGTGTGGGAGGAGACAGGAATATGGGGGGGTTTTGCAGTGGCTCTGACTACCCCATGCCAAACAGAGCAATGCCTCTAGACCAGAGCTCTACAGGAGGCTGGGAGGCTCAGCTCCACGTTCCAGCAGGATTCAGCAGTGGCTGTGACATCTCAGCAGGTGCAGCCGGGAGTCACAGGGCACAGGAGCCGAGAGATGGAAAATCAGCCCCGTGTTAAAGGTGTTTAATGACCCTGCTCGGTGTGTGCTGGGAGGCTCCCGAGCGTGCCCACGGGGGAAGCTGTGAGTGCTGCCTCCTGCCACGGCTGCTCGGCAGTGAAAGGGACCTTCATCCAACAGAGTGTCCCAACAGACCTCAGTGATGACCTGGTGAATCATCCCAACTGCACCATCCCCTGGCCAGGCAGGGAGCACTGGAACAGCTCCAGCAGACTGCCCAGGGAGCACAGACCCAGCAGGCTGCAGGTAAGGTGGCCCAACAGGGTCCCCAGGGTGGATCTCCCTGCTCCATCCACACGGGGGTCTCTCCTGCCACGTGTCCAGCCACCTGGAGCAGGGTTCTGTCACCCTGGGACTCCGTACACGCCGTGACAGTGGCCAACTCTGCCACAGCAAAGAGCCGGGTTGTAAAAACACTCCAAGCAGCTGCAGCAGGCCCAACCTGGGTGTGCCCTCTGCGTTCTGCTGGGGCTCTTTGGGATCTTTTTGCAGGCATGAATTAGTGGGACTAACTGAAATCAACCACAAAACACTGGGAAATGAACAGGATTTTCAACCCAGAGAAGCAGATTCAGAGAATATCCTATTTTTATGCTCCCTCTCCGTGTAATTCATCTGCCATTCCAAACAAGATGTGCCTCAGCTGAATGAAGCCTCAAATAATCACATAATAGGAGAAGTCATTTATTGTGAATCAGGCTCTTTCTGTGGTATATAAATAGTCTGTGCTGTTCCATGGGCTTTGTCAGTCAGGATTAATTAGCAATTGACCCTTGGCTGGGATTTTTTCACTACCTCTACATTTTTCATAGGACTGAATGAGCTCTCCACGTTGCTTTAAGAGGCTTGCTAAGCTGGAGTTTCATTTACCTCTAGGCTATATATCAGTAGTTTAATTTATCACTAGGTTACATATCACCAGCAAATAGTCAGGGTGGAATCAAGTTTATTATAAAGATGTTCTGTTAAAAGACACATTATTAATACAGTGATTGAAACATGCTCTTCAATTTTCCATTAATGCCCAATTCTGAATATGACCACGGAGAACCACACTTTACATACTTTACATTTAGCATTCTAATAAATAAGTTCAATAAATAGGGATTCTGCAGATGAAGCCGTACTTGTGAACAGAAGCTGCTTTACAATGTTGTCAAAAAATAACTAGAGCTACTCTCGTTTGTTACCAACCACTGGAAATTGGTAAGTAAAATATAAGTATTTTACTCTTACTATGAAGACTGGAGGAACAAATCACCCTTAGGATTACATAGAACCTTATTTCGTACACTAAATTCATAATTCAGAGCATGCTTTCATAACGCTTTCAGCACAAAATATTTTCAAATACATTTATTAAAAACATGAGAAACGAGTGAGACTGCCCATGTAAGATTTCATCTGTGCCTGATCACTAGCTCTTATGTTACACAATATTGCAGTTTGGCTAATTTTGGATGAACTATTCCACATTTGGAGAAGATCTACAATAAAGGGCTGGATTTAGTCCTTAGTATATTGCAACATGTTAATACAGTAATTTATTTGCCAAAGTACAAAAAAACTCATTCCCTCCCCCAATGACTGTTATATATATATATATATAATATATATATA